TCTGGTATATTTTAAATATTTCAAGTTTTTAGACAAGTAGTCTTCTTTAAGAAAAGTAAAGGACTGGCCAGGTGCGGTGGCACACACCTGTAATCCCAGCACTTTGGGAGGATGAGGTGGGCCGATCACCTGAGGTGACCAGCCCGGCCAACATGGTGAAACCCTGTCTCTACTAAAAATACAAAAATTATCTGGGTGTGGTGGCGGGCACCTGTAATCCCAGCTACTTGGGAAGTTGAGGCAGGAGAATCACTTGAACCTGGGAGGCAAAGGTTGTAGTGAGCCAAGGCTGTGCCATTGCACTCCAACTTGAGACGAAGCGAGACTCCATCTCAAAAAAAAAGAAAAGTAAAGGACTGGCTTTATTTTCTTCATTCACACTATCAAATTTTGGTATTGTAGCAGCACTAAGAAATTTGTGGTTTGAGTAATGAGGTTCATGACATACAGTAATTTGGTTAGCTGACACAAATTTGAATAATTTGAAGAAGTCAGTTACTTTAGCTAGTGAAAAAGCCTAGCTATCTGCCTAGCAAAAATAAAACTTTTTGGATTTTTCTCAGAATGTTACAGCAAAAGATAAAAGATACGGAAAAATGTGCAAGAAAACAGTGACTTGGAGAACACAGAGTGATAGCGTCTGACTGAAAGAAATTTCAGGAACTGTATTAGATAAGACAGAAGGGGAAATAATCAGTGAAATAATAGGAGAAATTTCTCTTACTTGAAAAATTGAATCTTTCAGTTAAAAGGATTCTGATTGCTATGATTAGATGAAAGAACATCTATGTTTAGTCTCAAAAAAAAAAAAAAAAAAAAGAACCCTAAAAGCCTCCAGACCCAGAAGCTGTTACCTAAAAAAAATAGGAGCCCTCTGACATTGGACTTCACAGCAGCAGTAATTGGTAGAAAGCAATGGAGTACTACAAAGTTCTGTGTTTCTAATCCAGAATTTGATACCAGCCAAATGATAACTCAAGTGTGAGAACAACAACAAAAAAAAGACATTTCCCGAAATTTAAGGACTTGGGAAGGTTAACTTACATAAGTTCTTGAATATGTACGCAGCAAAATGAAATAGGAGTTCAAGAAAGAGGATGAAATGAGACCCCAGAAACGAAATTCCTTATACACCAGTGAAAATCTCAGGATAACAACTATGCCATAGGCCTAGAAAGCGATTGGTTCAAGTTCGAATGAGATGACAGGGTTGTCTGTGAAGAATGTTTTCAAGAAGAAGTAAAAGCCATTATATGAAATATGTGGTGGAATTTTTTAATGTTAAGATAAATTTCAGTGACAGAAAAAAAAAAAAACTGAGGGATGCAGTATGAGATTCTTGGCAGTAAACCACATTAAGCTTTGGAGGAGCCATACGTGTAAGTACGTCTTGAATAATGGAGGCTGAAAGTAAAAGAAGACTTTTAAATATGCATTCGTTTGTGGAATTTTTTTTTTTTTTTTTTTTTAAGGAAAATGGGGTGGGGAGTGGTTTGTGGTACAAAGCTAAAGAAAAATGCTGCTAACATTCAAATGCAACATCACATAGGACCAGTAGATAAAATAAGAGGAAGATCTGGAAAATGTGATGAAATGGGATGGGATTAGACTTAATTTATAGAACAAAGAAATGCTTTAGGAGCCAGATCTTTCGATGTTGTTGAACTAGGCAATATACATTTTAGGTGTTTTTTTTTTTTTTAAAATAGTATGTCTTTAAGCAGGGTTATTAATAACAGTGAGACTACTCAAAGATATGTTTTTATGATGCTATAAATACATTTTTATTAACTTACTGTTTATCTTGATTTGAACCTTTTGAATAAGATGTATCATTGAACTATGCAGTACACATTTTGGTTTAAAAAAAAAACAATGTTTCTTAAGAAGGTTATTGATAACAGTGAGAATACTTGATGGTATATTTGTATGATATTATGAAAACATGCTTTTCATTAACTTACTGCCTATATTTATTTGAACCATAGTGTGGATAAATCAAAAAGAGAAAAAGAATAATACACAGGCCTTCAGCAGGAAAAACGGTAATATACATGTTGAGAGAAGGGTTAGAAAGGACATCTTAGAAATACATGGTCTGATTTTTATCTACCTGGAGTGGGAAGACTCTTACTGTTCTCTTTTCTCCACATTTAGCCCAGAAATGCAGGTTGGGGAAATAGCAATGATGCATAGTATCTCTTAGCCTAAGGCTCGTTGGTGACTCTTCAGATGTAACTAATATAGGAAAAGAAATTACATCAGAAAGTGTTTCAAGAAATCCCAGTCACCCCACTTTGTCATCAAGCTTTATAACATTGAGCAGCTTACCTAACTCTTTGGGTCTGTTTGTGCATCTTGAGTTTTTTGTCTTCTAGGTTTCTTGCAGCTTTTTACATTACATGGCTTTTCTATGCTAGATTTTTCTCGTGAAGCTCACTAAGCTCTGAAAACAATTCTAAGAATGTATTTTTAGTATTGTTGTAAGTGTTTTGTGACATCTTTGGACATCATTCGTTGGGTGAGTTCTAGAGTGTTGGTCATTTTTAGTCATTTTAAAAAAATGTAGGGAGGAAGTCAGTGGTATGTGGTATTTATATTTTGAAGGAGTATTCTAGAAAAGAACACACAATCTCAATATCAGTAATGAAAGCACTGAAATCATTACAGATTCTTATAGATACTAAAAGAATACGAGAATGTTATAAATAATTTTATGCCAATAAATTTCATACCTTAGATGAAACGGACAAATTGCTTGCAAAACAAATTACTAAAACTGACAATAAGAGGAAATAGAAAATCTTAGTAGCCTTTTATCAGTTAATAAAATTGATTTCTTATTTCAAAATCTTTTTTTTTTTTTTTTTTGAGACGGAGTTTCGCTCTTNTTTTTTGAGACGGAGTTTCGCTCTTGTTACCCAGGCTGGAGTGCAATGGCGCGATCTCGGCTCACCGCAACCTCCGCCTCCTGGGTTCAGGCAATTCTGCCTCAGCCTCCTGAGTAGCTGGGATTACAGGCACACGCCACCATACCCAGCTGAATTTTTGTATTTTTAGTAGAGACGAGGTTTCACCACATTGACCAGGATGGTCTCGATCTCTTGACCTCGTGATCCACCCGCCTCGGCCTCCCAAAGTGCTGGGATTACAGGCGTGAGCCACTGTGCCCGGCCTTCAAAATCTTTATACAAAGATAATACTAGGGCCAAACGGCTTTACTGGTAAATTGTCACATTTAATGAAAAAGAAAGAAAGAAACCCAGTCTTATCTAGACTCTTAGAAAGTAGAAGCTAGCATTACCTTGATGGTAATACCAAAGACATTTTAAGAAAATCAATATGGAATATAAACCAGCATTATTTGAGAATATATGTACAAAAAATCATTTAGTATTTGCAAGTCAAATTCAGTGGTATGTAAAAAAGATAGAACACAACCAAGGGGATTTTTATACCAGGAATGTGATTTTAACATTAAAAATTTAATGTAATTTACTATTTTGATAAAATAAAATAAAAAAAAATAAACAAAAACAAGGGCACTTCTTCAGCCTGATAATGGGCATCTATTAAAAAACCTTTGCTTTCTTCATACTCATATCTAATGGTGAAAGGCTAACTGGTTTCCACCTAAGATTGGGGAAAAAAGCAAGGTTTTTCACTCCTGACCACTTCTAATCAACATGGTATTAGAAGTCCTAATTACTACATGGTCAAGAAAAAGACATTGAGATTGGAAAGGAAGGATACATTTTTTTTTTAATTCTCAGATGACGTGGTTTTATATATATAGCAAATGTTAAGTTACCAAAACTGGTAAGTGAATTTGGCAAGTTCATAGGATACAAAGATAATATACCCAAACAATGTAATTTCTGTATAATAGTAAAGAACAATTAAAAATGAAATGGGCTGGGCACAGTGGCTCACACCTGTAATCCCAACACTTTGGGAGGCCAAGGAGGGTGGATCACCTGAGATCAGGAGTTTGAGACCAATCTGGCCAACATGGTGAAACCCCCATCTCTACTAAAAAATGCAGAAATTAGCCAGGCATGGTGGCATGTACCAGTAATCCCAGCTACTCTGGAAGCTGAG